GGGGGGGGGGGGGCAGCCCCGCCCATCTCGCAAGCCCCGCCTCCCAGCACCACAGGTGGCCACGAGGAACCCCACCAAAGCACTTGACTGGCCAGACGCAGGAATCGTTTCAAACTTGGGCCTTTCTGGCTCTGACCTCCGTTCACCCCTCAAATTTTTACCGGAGGCCTAAGGGCCTCGCTCTGCTCTGGGCCCTGGAGATACAGCAGTTACCAAACAGGCCCTGCCCTCATCACGCCTCCGTCCTGGGGGAAAGTAGTAAACGGAGAAACAGCACTGGGAGGAGGTGATGGAGAGACTGCGGAGAGGCCACCCCCCGCCCCCCGTCCCCCAGGCCTCCCCCAGGAGACAGATGCTCAGGGATGAGCTGACGGAGGCCACCCGCAGCACAGGGAGGCGGACACACCCCCTGTACTCACTCGGTGGGCACGGCCGGAGTCAAGGCCACAGTCGCCTCCTTAGCTTTCCACTTCTTGCGCTTGGCGTCTCCTCCTTTCGGAGAAGTATCATCGTTTGTCCTTTTCTCGGCTCCCTTCCCATCGTGCCCCGCTCTGCTAACCTCTGTGCGGGGAGCCGGCGCCTTCCTGTCCGCTGGAGGTACTGAAGGACCAGAGCCCCCCGTGGCCGCTGGGGCCGCTGTTTCTGGCCCCGTCTCACTTCTCTTTGCTTTATCTGGGACGACTTTTCTGTTCGGTTGGATAATTCCGGGCTGTTTTTTGGAATCCGTCTGAGAGATAACAAGAGGCTTTTCCGGGGCCTGTGTTTTTTGTTTCAGGAGCTAAGAGGACCCAAAATAAAATACACGACACGTTTTAATTTGGAAACCAAGCACGAGAGACTGAAAAACTTACGTGTGTATACACCCCGTCTACCCCTACGGGCATCACTGAGATCCATCATCTGACAGTTTGGCAAAAGCCCTTCTCATTCACGCCTGGTCACCGGTGGTGAGATGGTCTTCTTCGCTTATCTCGTTACAAGGCATGATCTGATACCTGCTGCCTCATTCCTACAAAATTTTAAACGCCTGTCCAACACCTTAAGTGCCTCCCGAATGACTTCACTCTGCCTAAGGGATGGTGAGCAAGCTGTTCTCCCGTTTGCTTAGGGCTTGTGTTAGAGCTCCCTCCTGTGCAGACTAGGCCAACAAAGCGGGGGAGGAGGGGGGATGGGAACCAGATCCTTTACAAACTCCTCGAGGGTCTCAGGAAGAGAGAGGGGCGTGTGTTCAACCAAGAGTTTGGTTCAAGCCACGGGTTCAAGCCCGTGGCGGCTGAAGAGCTGCCGGCAGCCATACACTGTGCTCAGGCAAGCAGGGCTGCTGTGTCCCTTCCCTTGCACCCCAGCCCCCAGCACGGCGGTTCTCAACCGCAGTTAAGACCCTGGGAGGTGGCACCGAGCTGAGAGACAACGTGGGTTTCTACTTACTTGTTCCTGCAACGTTTAACCACGGAAGGGCTGACTTTTTGTAGAACGTACAGAAAACACAAGCTTTCCCCCTAATAAATCTCCTTTCCACTCACTTGATTTTGCTTTACCTTCTTGAAAGAGAGGGAAGGAGAGCCACAGCTCAAGAAATCGTCCAGAACCCTGGGTTTGCCTGAAGGAGCCTCCTCAGTCCTGTCCGTCCAGACAGGCGGTTAGGATCTCCCATCCCTACGACACCGGCCGTATTAAGAGGCTCAAGAAGCTTTTCTCTATCGCCCGAGGCTCCGAAACAGAGCCCAAGACGTTGTGGAAGACTCTGAAGGTCGGTGGTAGCAAAGAACACAAACTCCCGCTGGGAAGGGTGAGTCTGCACCCCGATCTGCCGTGTTTTTACTAGCTCTGTGACACTGGGCCAAACTCCTCAAGCTCTGTGCCTCCGTTTCCTCACCTGGAAAACAGCGATGACAACAGCAGCTTCGCTTCGAGGAAGGCGTAGAGAACTGATGACTGAACGGCATGGAACAGCATCGGGCAGAAAGAAACCGCCACGTGGGGGGCCTGGGTGGCTCAGTCGGTTAAGCAACCGACTCTTGGCTTCGGCTCAGGTCACGATCCCAGGGTCATGGGACTGACCCCTGCATCGAGCCTGCTTGGGATTCTCTCTCTCTCTCTCTTTGCCCCTCCCCCGCTTGCGCTCTCTTCTTCTTTCAAAATAAGTCAATAAACTTAAGGGAGAAAGATAAAGAAACCTCCACGAAGGGCCTGGCCACCCGTGCGGAGAAAGGCAGTAGGGCACCACAGGGGGTTCAGAGCAGTGGCTGCTGGTGTGGGACACCCGGTTCTGCCCACCCGGCTGCAGTCCTGGACAATTTCTCTAACCTTTCCGGGCCCCCTTCCTCGCCCGTAAAAGGAGACGACACAGGCGTCCACCGCACACCGTTGGTATGGGGGTTAAACAACAACACACGTGTAGATGTACCGGCGGAGTCCGCGCATTTCCAGAGATCAGTACCCCGGGGGGCAGCTACCATCAAGGTCACTCACTCACAAACCCCGGTTCTATCACGTTCCCGCGGACTCGCTGTCCACCCTCACAGGCTAACCTTCCCGCGACAGGCTCTGTCTGCAAGGTTTCTACCGCCATGTGCCCGCACAGCGGCCCCACGCGTCTTCCTCTGCCTCCGTCCGCGCGGCCCCTCAAACCTCACCCGCTGCAGCGCCCTCCAGTTGCGGGAGAAGTCCTCCGGCGCCTTCGGAGGTCGGACCACGGCGACTCCGGGGCCGCAGCCCGGTGTCTTGCTCGCTTCTCGCCCTCGGCTTTTCCAGAATCTCCTCTTCCTGCTTTTCTTCCGAGCTACCTTCTTGCCAAGCCCCGGCTCAGCCACGGGCTCGCCGGGGGCGCGCCTGGAGGTCAGCGCCTTGGCCATCCCGCCCCCGGCCGGGCTCTGCCCACCCAGCGCAAGCCCAGGCCGGCCCCCGACTCCCCCGCCCGAGAGACACCAGCCTCCGGGACCCCGGAAACGACCCCGCGCGCGCCCCGGCACGTGCGTCCCGGCCTCTGGAAGTGCTCTTCTCTCCGGACCGGCTGGAAACCGGGCCTCCCTTCCTGGTTCCGCACGGCCGGGAGCAGGGCGGGGCTCTTCTCCCGCCTGGCAGAAGGGCCACCACCCCAGGAGCGGCGTCCGGGGTCCATGACCTGGGGTAGGCTTGGGGTAGGCCCGGGGCCCTACCGAAAGCCGGGACGGGGGACGGGGGACGAGAGACGCGTGCGCCGGAAAAGAACTGGGGGGCCGCTGTCTGTGTAGCACCGCAGCTGGGCCGGCCGAGCGCGGGGGCGCAGGCGACCGCGAGGGGGCGCTGGGCGGACGGGCCCGGGTTGGGGAGCCGCCGGGGGGGGGGGGGGGGGAGCGAAAGGCGCGCGGGCCCCGCCCCTCTCTCCCCGAGTGGGGAAACTGAGGCCGCGAGACGGAAAGAGGGCCCCAGAGCGCTGGTAGAGGGGCACGTGCGCCCTGGGGCTGCAGAAGCACTTGAGCCACGTCCAGCAGCAGTGAGAAAGCGTGATGACAATGCTGCGTATTAGTTTGCGCGACAGCGGTGGTAATAAATCACTAGCACACCTTGCGTGGCCCCTCGGTACCTTGATGAGCCCATGACGCCTTCGCTTCCCTAAAGCTTCGCCGTGAGTATGTGTGTCGTGCGGGGGTGGGAGGTTTTCAGAGAAACTGATCACAAACGGACCAGGTAATTCTGGATGCGGGTAACTGTCGCTAAGGTGATAAAGTGAGATGCTGGGGAAGAGGGTGACCAGGGGTGTGGTTACCAGACAAAATGCAGGGGGCCCAGGGGAATGGGAATTCCTGACAAAGGATAGTTCTCGTATAAATGTGTCCGATGTAAGAGCTGCACTATTTGGGGCATACATCAACTGAAACAAACAAAAGTATTCTTTGTTTCTCCAAAATTCAAATTTGACAGAGTGCCCCGATTTTTATTTTCTAAATGTGGCAACCCTACCTGGAGGTCGCTTAGATCAGGTCCTAAGGGAAGGCCTCCTGAGCGGGTGACATTTGAGCTGAAACTGGAATGTAAAGCCAGGGCTCAGAGGGAAGAGCAGTATCTGAACAGTGAGAAGCAGGCTGGTGTGGCTGAGGCTCTGTGTGCAGGGAGAAGAGGCTTAGAGATGCAGGCGGAGGGATGGCAGGGGCCAGTCTGATCTATGATTACAGAGCCTTGGAGGCCTCAGGAAGGGGTTTGGACGTTTTACCCTAAGGGCAAGGGGAAGCCATCGATTGTTACAGAGCTGGGAGGTGATGCAATCTGACTTCAGTTCTTAAAGTCAAGTCACTGCTGCTCTAAGAGAAACGGGATGGGAGGACGTGAGGGAGAAAGCAGGGAGGCCAGAGGGAACCAATGACAGATGCCCAGACCGGCAGTGATGCAGCTTGGATTAGGGCATGTGTCCATCTGGGTCTCTAGAGAGCAGTCACAGAGAAAGTCAGGAGTGCACAGTGTGAATTAGGATGGCATACCTGGGAAAGGGAAAGGGAGAAAAGCAGGATGGACAGAGAGAGCCTCAGACGGTCCTGCAGGTCTGGTCGGGGAATGGGAAGCGGATTGGGCCAGGGTGGAGTCGGGGCAGCCTCCCTGATAAAGAGGAGGAGAAGCCAGGAGACCTTCAGATCCCCCTCTAGCTGTCAGGGGAGTTGGGGGGCGATGTCCTGGAGGTGGGAGGGAGTGTGAAACAGGGCTTTGGAGAGGGTGGCTGAGAACCTTCCAGAAAGTGGAGTGGGCTGCCAAGCAGTCTGTGACTGTGGTGCCATTCGCCTGGTTCTGTGACTGTCCCTGGCCGGCGGGGGCGGGAGGGGGGAGTGAGGAGTGAGTTCAGTGGGGGGCCGGGCATCTGCCCTGGGCGCGGAGGGTGAAGTGAGATGGGGCCATTTATGTCAAGGGGTCTTAAGTGGAGCCGGAGTCCATTAAGGAGATGGGCCGTATTCATGGCCTCGACATCCTCACCGGTGGAACCATGCACTTTTGAAGTGGGCCAAAGTGCAAATGTTCCAAGGACCGAGCCTGAACCCTTGCAATCAGCTAGTGAGAGGTTGTTTACTGACAGCGTTAGTCGAGGTGTGTCTTACACAGATTTAACTTGCAGCCACCAACACCAGTCTGAAATTCTCTGTAAGCAGTGCACACGAGCGAGTCTACTTTTGCTGTAAAGGCCCCTGACTTTGGCTCCCTGGTGGGGCACTGTTGGGATTGTGACCCAAATCTATGTGGCCTGAATTGCGGTTCTTGGATCCCAGATAAATGTGCTTGTGTAATTATCACCTCCGGACAATTTAGGTTGACAAAGGGAATTGAGGACAGGAGAGCAGGGCAGATCATGGGCTGTCCGTGGACCTGAGCGGGTTGTTGGAGGCTGGAATGTTGCTGTCTCCGGTGCAGCCTGTCACCAGCCAAGGGTGAGTAACCCAGCCCCAGTTCTAGAATCACGCCTGGGTCCACATCTGTTAAGATCCCTAGTCCAATGCTCCCTCCTCCAGACTCTGCTGCTTGGCTCAGCCCCGCTCCGGGGTATAGGATCCGGAGCTCCAGACCAAGGACCAGCCTAGTGCAAGGGCCTGCAGGCTGCCCACCCCCGTGGCCCCTGCCCCTGGAGGAAGCTCCCAAGAGTAAACAACAGCCTCCTCTTCCCGCCCACCAGGGTCTGCCACATTCCACACCGGCCAGATTTCCAGTCACAAGGCTCTCTCCCTCTGAGCAGGCTGGTTTTCCTGAGGATGAGGGAGCCTCGCCCCTGGGGGAGATGCTTGGGGGCAACGCTCACTTCTGCCTTCTTTCTCCTGGGCTGCTGGGGACGCTCCGATTTCCAGCAGGTGGGCGAATCTGCAGGAGCTGAGGTGTTTGGGAGCCCTGGAGCTGGGAATCTTGAGCTCTGCTGGGTGCTGCAAGGGGGTGCCCCCCGGGAGAGATGGAGACGCCCAAACGGCCTTTGGGCAGAGTGAGGGCGTCCTTTCAGCTTCCAGGTTTGCACTGGGAGAGGGGCGGATCTGAGCTTGGGGTTTCGGGGATAGAGCGTGCTCACCGAGGAAGGAAAGGGCTTCTCAGTACTGATCTCCTCCCACCCCCACCCCTGCCTTGGTTTCCCCCTCCTCCTTGCCTTGCCCCTCTCCCACCCCCTCTC